ATCCATTAGGTACACACACTCACTCAGTCTAAATAGACCTGTCAATTAGACACACCTTCACCTAGCCTAGACACCTGTGCACAGCTACTCTTACCTGACCTGGGTACACGTGTCCAGCAAGTATACCTTTACCTATCCTGTACCTTTTCAGACACCCCCTTCTAGCCAATATAGCCTTCCTTAACCTCTTATTTATTATATAACCACTCATATACCTTCACATGAAGGGACACCTTCACCCGACCTACCAGAACCACCCTCTGCCTGGAATTGATCCCATGCCCCAGGCCCCTGCCATCAGCCTCTATGGTACTGCATCCTCACAGCCCATCAAGAGGGACTTGATCCTGACGCCCAGATGTGTGTACATGATTGGGCGGGAGAAGGTGAAGAAGGGACCCGAGAAGGGCCAGGTGCGTGAGGTCCTGAAGAAGAAGCTGGAGATCCAGGCTCTGCGGGGAGTTTCCCTCAGGTGAGGCCAGGAGTCCACCTGCCCCACAGTCACTCTCTTGTCGCCCTGAGCTGTCCTCATACTTGCTGCCCCATCTGTAACCCTGACTGTTTTACCTGCTGCTATACATATAAGCCTCTCTTGGCCCCACATGTCACCTTGCCCCCACATTCATGATCCTTATTTGCCCCTTGCACCTGCCCCCTCCCCTGGCTCCTTACCTGGCCCTTCTCTATTACCACCGTCTCCTGCTCCCTCCCTTCTCCCGTTTCCCCCACCTGTTAACTCCTCACTTGCCTCTTACCTGACCCCTCCCCGGCTGCATCTCACAGTCACTCCTTCTACCACCCTCACCCATCACTACCACCGGCCTTTCCTCCTGCCCTCCCCAGCACGCGGCAAGACGACTTCTTCATCCTCCAAGAAGAAGCGGCCGACAGCTTCCTGGAAAGCATCTTCAAGACGGAGTTTGTCAGCCTCCTGTGCAAGCGCTTCGAGGAGGCAGCACGGAGACCCCTGCCCCTCACCTTCAGCGACACGTATGGCCCTCCCCACCACCACCGCATCCTGGCGCTAGTCTGGGCCCAGCACCCCCGCCCAGCCCGCGGACCAGCTCAACTGCTCCGCCACCCACGGGTGCCCGCCGGACAAGGATGGGATGGGGAGGTCCTCCTACTCGGGAGGCGGCGCCCATTCAGCTTCCTCCTCTCCCCCACAGACTACAGTTCCGGGTGAAGAAGGAGGGCTGGGGCGGAGGTGGCACGCGCAGCGTCACTTTCTCGCGTGGCTCCGGCGACGTGGCGGCGCTCAAAGCTAGCGGCCGGGCCCTCGCCGTCAGCGTGGGTGATGGGCTACCCAAAAGCTCCAGTGAGTCTGCGCAGAAGCGGGGGGCGTAGCCAAAATGGCGAGGCCAGCAAGGGACCAATCAAGGCTGGGAGGGCGGAGCCAGTGAGGCTGCCAAGGGTGAGGGCGGGCCATGGAGGAGAGGGAAAGACTCAGAGGAGACCAATGATTGGGCGAGAGATAAGGAGGGGGCGTGGCCAAACAGGCAGCCTGTGAGCCCTGGAATGGGTGGGTCCTGGAGAAGAGAGGCCAATCACAGTGCGGAGCTCTGGAGCGGGCTCGGGACAAAGCCAGAAGAGACCGGGCTTGTGGGCGGGGCCGCCGCGCAAACGCCCACATCCTTCCCCTTCCCTTCCAGAGCCCACACGGAAAGGAGTGGCCCAGGGAAGACCCCGAAGATCGGCCCCAGGCCCTTCTCGGGCGGCGCCCGGGCGCCCCAGGGGTGAGGAGGTGCCCCCCACTAAGGGTCTCCCCCTGCTGCTTGTGGGCTCCATAACCTGAGCCAGACTGCCTGTCCGCGCGATCTAACAAGCAGAGTGATAACGCTCTACTTCTCTACCCAGAACCCTCCATAGCGCCCCATCTCCCGCATAATAAAAGCTAAGCTTAGTTTGGTACTCAAAGCCCTCCGGAATCTGACACCTGCTATAACCACTGACCTCTCCTCTCCTCTCCTCTTACACTCCTGTCATACAAGCTACATCTTATTTTTACCAACTTACCAAATTTGCTCTTACCTCCAGGCCTTTGCTGGAGCTGTTTGCTCTGCCTGTCTCCCAAATTCCCACTACACTTGAGTTCCTATTCATCTTCCAAGACCCACCCCAAAAAGCCCTCCTGCAAGGGGGGGGGGGGGGGAGCAGTCTTACCCCTGCAGAACCTCTCTCGTCCTACCTGGCCCCTGGGTCCCTCCCTCTGGCCCAGTCACCATACCGGATTGAGTGTGGCTGCCTCCTCCCTCAGACTGGGAACTTGGAGACAAATCCTCCCCACATCCTCCCAGAGCATCCTAATAAATGCCTCCATCCTTGTTCCCACCACAGGTCTGGACCGAAACGGGGTACCCCCCTCCGCCAGAGGAGGCCCTCTGCCCCTGGAGATCACATCTGGAGGGGGCTCTCAGCGGCCTCCCCGGGGCCCTCCACCCTCAGGCCAGCGGGCCAGCAGGCGCCCCCAGGCACGGCCCCCCTCCGAGCACAACACAGAATTCCTCAATGTGCCTGACGAGGGTGTGGCCGGGTAGGTGCGGTGGAGGGGCAGCCCCGAGAGGTAGGTAGGCAGGGGAGTATCTAGGGCTGTGATGGACACCCCTGTGCCCACAGCATGCAGAGGAAGCGCAGCGTGGGGCAGCGACCGGTGCCTGGTGTGGGCCGACCCAAGCCCCAGCCACGGACACATGGCCCGCGGTGCCGGGCACTGTATCAGTATGTGGGCCAAGACGTGGATGAGCTGAGCTTCAACGTGAATGAGGTTATCGAGATCCTCATGGAAGGTATGTGTGCTGGGACAGAGGTGGGAGGGGTCGGAACCCTGACACAGCCAGGCAACCCCCATTACTGCATATCGTCCAATGGGAGAACAGAGGGGCCAGCTAGCTTCCAGGCCCGGCTAGAGTTACCCTCTTCTGAGCCAGTGGTTGCATAAGCTAGAGGCGTTGGGTGGAGATCACCTCCTAAGCCACCTGGGAGCCTGGTCTCACTGCATCACATGTAGCACCCCAGCCTCATTTTTGTTACTGATCAAACATAGGGCTAGCAGAACCTCAGAGACCCCTTGTGAGTAGGAAATGGGCCATCCAGACAGGCCACCTCCTAACTTACTAGTAAGCCCCTGGGCTGCCCCCCAGAGGAGCCTGGGACTCAACAGCACCCTCCGTAAGTGGGTGGGGCAGCCCCGTTGAGGTCATTCTTGGGTCCAGCATAGAGACTATGGGGAGGGGCCTGTGGGAAGAGTACAAGTGAATGTTCTAGAAAATGATGAAATGTGAGCCAGTGACAAGGAAAAATCATGTATGTGTCCCTCCCTCCCTCCCTTCCTTCCCTCACTCTCTTTTCAGCCTCTGCCTTATGCCAGGCCAGTGGAAATGAGTAAGACAGACTGAGCCAACATGAAGGCTTCCTCTGGGGTGGGGTGGGTGGTGCCTCATACTTTCTTCTATCCCACAGACTCCTCAGGCTGGTGGAAAGGCCGGCTGCATGGCCAGGAGGGCCTCTTCCCTGGAAACTACGTGGAGAAGATCTGAGAGGGGGGCCCAGGATTCTGTCCTCCCCCTGCCAGGGAGCCAGGCCCTGCTGGCAGGAGGTCTCCTTTCTCTTAGCCGCATTAGCCAGAAGGTCCAGTCCTGTGGCCTCCAGCCCAGCCCAGGCTCTGGGTGGGTCTGAGGATCATCACTGCAGCCACCTCTGGGCCCTGGCCTCCCGTGTCACACCCGTTTCCTAGTGTGTCACATAGGGCTAACAGCAGAGCCTACCTCCTAGCTGCCTTGTGAGTATGAAATGAGTCGTATCCTAGCAGCAAAGCATGGGGAAAAGTGGAGAGGCCTTCACAAGTGTGACCTCCCTCCTTCTCCACCGAGGCAATAAATGTTTGCCGGATAGAAGTATGAACAGACTGAGCGCCAAACTTCTTGAAACCTGTGACATATGCCCTAACGTGTTTAGGTCAGTGGATAGGGTCCCAGGTTCGAGTCCAATCAAGGGCATGTACCTTGGCTGCGGGCACATACCCAGTAGGGTGTGCAGGAGGCAGCTGCTCTATGTTTCTCTCTCATCACTGTTTCTAACTCTCTATCCCTCTCCCTTCCTCTCTGTAAAAAATCAATAAAATATATTAAAAAAAGAAAAGAAACCTGTGACATAGGAGCAGCAAATCACCATTTTACAGGTGGAAACATGAAGGCTCAGAGGTTGAGTCACTTGCCCAAGATTCCACAGAGCCAAGCCTTAAAAAGTTTGAGCTTGTCTACTTGCCAGCTGCCAGAAATTGTATCCCAGTTTTCCTTCAAAAATGGTCTGGTTGGTTCTGTCAGATCTGAATCTGCAGTCCCCAAACCCATCTAGGACTTGACTGGACCCTGAGGAAGGAAAGAGGCCCCACAGTCCACCCTGGGCCACCCCTGGTCCCTAAACCCCCCCCCCCCCCCATGTTTGTGCCTTCTTAGCCCTCATTTACCCGTGGTCTGGAAGGTTCTGACATTCCAGGGCCCTGACTTCCTGCACTTATGGTCACAGGTGAAGGGGTTATCTGGCAACTGGTCTCCCCAGCTGTCTGCAAACCCATGCTGAAATCTGAGCCATTGAGACCTTACAGGCACAGCTGGAACCAGCTGGGAGTTCTGCCATGGTCTCAGCCTAAGGAGCCTGGCTTTCTAGATGGACACCTTTTCTGTGCTCAGCCCCTCAAAGAGCAGCCAGCCTGGGAGACTGGTGGGGTCGGGACTGAGCCAGAGAAGGGACAGGGGATGACTGGCCAGTTGAGCCTTTTGTAGGATCTGCACCCTCTCTCTTCTGCACCTACCTGGGGAAGCTGAGTGTAGCTGGGGCCGGGGGGGTGGGGAGGATCCCAAGGTTGCAACTGAGTTCAAAAGCCCTTTTTCTTTTTAAAACATATTTTACTGATTTTTTATAGAGAGGAAGGGAAGGGGATAGAGAGAAACATCAATCAGCTGCCTCCTGCACACCCCCTCCTGGGGATGTACCCCATGCCCTTGACCGGAATCGAACCTGGGACCTTCCAGTCCACAGGCCAACACTCTGTCCACTGAGCCAAACTGGTTAGGGCTCAAAAGCCCTTTTATTAGTCCATTGTTATACAAAAGCTTCCAGCCAGTCCCTTGAATGTCCCTGGTTCCTTCCATCTCTGATTTTCTCACTCTGCCCAACCACTATGTGTGCGTCTCTTGCTGCAAGACTTACATGTGAGGACAGACATGTTAAGGACAACCCACATGAGCCACCAACTTGATCAGCTGGGCATTTTCTGGTGGAAGAAATCAGGGCTTCCTTTCCCTTCTCTGCCCTCACACTCACCCTGTGACCCCACTACCATCGTGGCAGGCACCACATATGTAGGAAGTAGGGTCTTCTGGATAGGATGAGTGAATGAGGTTTGGGTGTGGAGCTGAGTATGGAAAAGGGAGTGAATTTAACGTATTGTAATAGACAGCTTCTCACATCTAGGTTACAGTATCTGCAAACCTGTCAGTTTGACCTCACCCACACAGCCCACATCCTATTGACTCTTTTTTTATACATAAAACTTGTTAAGTTCAGGCCCTCCTTTCCCTTCCTTAGGTCCCTGTCCTTTCTGAGGCCTCACCCCACCCTTCCCCATATGCACCAATCTTCCCTGCTCACACACACCTCTCTCCACCATGCATCAAAATGACCTGTTTTTTTAAGTTTTTAACTGTATTAAAGATAATCAAAAGATAAGTTTTTAAATTCAAACTGCACAAAGGTGTGAAAAATCTGTCTCTCCCTCAGAAATCCCTGTTCCCCTACCCAATTTTTAATGTCTCCTTCTAAAGGTATTCTCTGTATATAAGAGCACACAGGTGCCGGTGTGGGTCAGTTGATTGGAGAGTCGTCCACTACACTGAAAAGTCTTGGGTTCAATTCCCAGTCCAGGCACATACAGTGGGGCCTTGACTTACGAGTTTAATTCGTTCCTAGACTGTGCTTGTTAAGGAGCTCGTTAACTCAAATTACTCTAACAACTCAATGCAAAAAATCAGCCGAGAGGCAGCTGGTATCTCAAAAAACTTGTTAGTTGGGACACTCGTAAGTCAAGGCCCCACTGTACTTAGGTTTTGTGTTCAATCCTCGGCCCCATCATTGGGGTACGTGCGGGAGGCAACCAATCGATGTTTCCCTCTCTCTCCCTTCCCCTCTCTCTAAAAAAATCAGTGAACATGGCCTCATGTGAGGATGAAAAAAAAAAGCATACAGGCACATCTTATGTACACAGATGGGATTACATTGCACACAGTCTTGAACTCAGACACCTCACTTGCCTTGAACTCAGACACCTCACGAATGGTTAAATAATGTATTAAAGAGCTCTGATATCAAAAACACTTCACTGTCCCCCAATAGCTCAACTTCCCAAGGACAGGCAGGGATTGATGGTGTACCTCTCCCTGCTGAAAATTCATCAGTGTCTAGAATAGAAACCAGTTCACAAAGCCCTGCATGACCCTCTCTGCACCAAGTTCACTTTCTGTCTTTCACATCCCGCCTCCACTCTGCTGGAGCGCACTGATGTCGCTGTTCCCTGAAAAAGACAAGTCTGTCCCTCCGCACCTCAGGACATTTGTACCTACCCACTTTTTCCAGAGTGCTGTGGCCCCATGACCTTCCACGGGCTCACTCCTTCCTATCAGGCACCAGCTCAGAAGTCCCCTCACAGAAAGGCTTCCCTGACCCATCACTGCCACATCCTACTGTTTGTTTTTGGTAGCACTTAATATAACCTAAGATCATTTTCTGCATTTGTTGTTGTCTGTTTTCCCATTTAAAAATGTGAGTGGCTTCTGAGGTCAGGGATGTTTGCCGGCACTGTTCATTTCTGAGTCCCCAGAACCTAGCACACAGTAGGTTGGACAGGTGACTTATTCTATGCTGGTGCACTCAGTGCCATCCTCCTGGAAACCACCCTTCCTGACAGTTAGCTTGCTTCCCACAACAGACCCACTCCAACTTCAGAACTAAATGCATTGAAAAGTTTTACTACTGCCCTGGCCAGGTAGCTCAGTTGGTTGGAGTATGGAACCTATACTTCCAGGTTGAGGGTTCCATCCTAGGGGCACATTCAAGGGTCAACTGATGAATCATGGATTGGTGGAACAACGGGTGGATGTCTCTCTCTCCCTTCCTCTAAAATCAATCAATAAAATTTAAAAAAATGTTTTTATTGATTTGATAGAGAGGAAAGGAGAGGGGGAGAGAGAAATATTGATGTGAGAGAAACATTGTTTGGCTCTTGTACGCACTGCCGCGGGGGATCAACCTACAACCTGGGCTTGTGCCCTGACCCGGAATCAAACAAGTGACCTTTCTGTGCATGGGACGACGCTCAACCAACTGAGCAACACCGGCCAGGGCAATAAATAAAGTTTTTTTAAAATGTTGACGACCATTGCCAACTTCCTTCAAAGAGGGTGCCAGTCAACACAATCTCTTCAAAAAGGAGAGCGTTGTTTATCGCCTTTCCAGGCTGGTGATGAACGGAATGGGCTGAAGATACCCATTTTACAGACGAGTACACAGGCCAGGGAAGATTTTAATCCTGATCTCAGCGCACTGGCTGTTCACATTGCCCTCAGTTTGCAAACCCGCTGCGGGAGCTGTTCTATGGTTCAGGAGCCCCCGGATCGCAGGCCCCGCCCCCTCACGAAGAGCCCTGCGCAGGTCCCGCCCGTGCTCTCGCGAGAGCTGGGAGGCGGATAATGGCGTCGAAGTGAGCGCGAGCTCGCGGCCGCCCAGGAAGTCGCCGCAGCCTCAGCCGGAGCCGCAGGAGCTGCGGGGACAAAAGGCCTAGCCGGGCCAAGGATGGTGAGCGCGGCGCCGGGGACACGGGTGCGGCGAGCCAGCGGGGACTGGAGGGGAGCGGTCCTGTCACGCACACACCCTCCGGCCAACCCCGCCCCCACATCCGGGCACTCGCCTCGTCACTAGTCATTTGGCTACCACCCCACCCCCTACTTCCGGGCCCGGTTTCGACTGGGCCACCCCCACTGAGCTCGGGCTCCGCCCCCGGTCTTCATGCCACCGGCCCCCAACACTTCCGAGTTCACCTGCACAGCTCCGGTCCGTCCTCAAACAACCCACGTGGCCACTTCCGGCCTCACCAGCATCTTCCTAACCACTCTGTTCAGAGCCTCGCCTTCATAGCCTTTGTCCCGCCTACTCCCTCTAGGCCACGTGGGGGGCCTCCCATCTTCCTAAGCGGGGGAAGAGGGGATGCTGCTTTCGATGAGCACTTCCTGACAGCGGTCCACTTCTGCTTTAGGAACACTTCCCGCCTAGCTGCCTGCCTCCCTGGATGGTAACTCCTTAGGATGGGGCTGACTGGCTCTTGTTTCGGGAGCATTCGCTGCTTCAGGAATGCACCACGGTCTCTGAGGGGAGGGAGGGTCCCCCTGGCTGGCCCCAGCAGACCCTGGGCCCAGAGGGGTTCTCCCCGCCTCTGTTTTCCACCAGGAGGAAGAACCCTCCGTGCCCAGCCCGGACATGCTGATCAGTGCAAAGCCCAGCTCCAGTGAGACCCAGAAGGAAGTGTCCCCAGGCGTGGCTGCTGCAGCCACCTCCTTCTCCATGGGGGAGGCGGCAGGGCCTGACCAGACAGCCACACCTCCATTGTGGGATCGCGGAGGGTCTGGCGGGGTCCAGCAGGGCGCCTCCTCAGCCCCAGGCGCGGGCCAACCTGGCCCGGGATCTAGCCTTGGCCCAACCAGCGCAGTTTCTGGGACCAGTGAGGACCTGCGGCCTCCCAGGCGACGCCCACCACCAGGTGACCTGTGATAGGGCCTTCTGTGGGGGCACAGGCCTGGAACGAAGGAAAACAGAGCCTTTCCATACTCGGTGATATCACTGAGTGTGTCCAGGCATGGCTGCTGTGATGAGCCAGGTCCACTCAGCCCCTGCCCTCTGGGCAGCTCAGTCCAATGGAAGCGGTCGATGGTAAAGACCCAGTAGGAAACCATAGGGTAACTCCCCCTGGTATATGCTCTCTGGGCAGAGCCCTGGACAGCACGGGGGAGGGGAGGGATGGGTGACCCTGCTGTGTACATCCTACAGGAAAGCAGATACCCTGCTCCAGCCTTGGCTGCTGCCTCAGTTTCCCCAGCGTTCGTGACTTGGCACAGCATCTGCGTACCCACTGCCCACCCACACAGTCCCTGGAAGGTAGGGTCAGAGTAGGTGGTGGGAGGCAGGCAGAGTTCCCAGGCTGACCCGTGGCCACCCCACTCCACTCCTCTGTCCTCCGCCCCTGCCCTGCCAGGCAAGCTCTTCCGCTGCTCCGCCCTGAACTGCACCGAGACCTTCCCCAGCATGCAGGAGCTGGTGGCACACGGCAAGCTGCACTACAAACCCAATCGCTACTTCAAGTGAGACCCTGACCACCCAGCCTCCTCTGGTCCTTGGTGACTAGGCCCTAGGCAGCTCCTGCTCCTGGTGTGACAGCCAATACCTAGGGTTCAAGCCTTCGACTTCCCAGTCAGGGGGCTGATGGGGGAGGGGCTTGGGTCTGAAGATGGGTGTGGCCTCGGGCAAGACCTGTCCCAGAGAGGCGGACCAGGAGAAGGTCCCAGGACCCGGGCGGGGTGGGGCTCATGTGGGTGTGGTTCCTCCCAGTCTCTCCTGAAGCTTCTAAGAGGAAAGCTGACCACCTAAGTCAAGGCTGAGACCTCTTCCTTTTCCCAGGGCTCTGACCTGGAGGGGTCCGGAAGGGTCGCGGTCAGCGTAGGGGGCACTGAGGACCAGTTCCTACCCCGCAGTTGGGTCATCTGTGACTTGGGTCTGGGCCCCCTTCTTGGTGCCCAGGAGACCCAGCCCAGGCCTGTGTTCGTCCCCAGGTGTGAGAACTGCCTCTTGCGCTTCCGCACGCACCGCTCGCTCTTCAAACATCTGCATGTTTGCGCTGAGCATGCGCAGAGCCCAGCCCCACCGCCAGCCCCTGCCCTCGACAAGGAGCCCTCCGCGCTCGAGCGCCCCACGGAATCTGACTCTGCGTCGGCGACGGGCTGGCAGCACCCGCTCGAGCCCTACGCGACGCCCGCCCCTGCCCCCAGCGGGCCCTTTCGTCCCTACCTGAACCCCGCGTCCTTTGGCCTAAACCCCACGCGCCTGCGCCCCTTCCTGGCCGCCGCTCCTGGGCTGCCGGCCTCCAGCGCCGCTGTCTGGAAAAAGAGCCAAGGTGAGTGCCGTGGCAGGGCCGCCAGAGGGTGGGCTGAGTTTGCTCCGATATCTGACCTTGACCCGCCTATTTACCGCAGGTGCCGGTGGCAGTCCTCGAAGACCCCAGGGCGGCTCCGACGCGCCCTCAGGTGCGTGCAGGTGACCACCAGGGCGGGATGGAGGGGGTTTCTGGCCTGCGTCCTGCCAGGCCCAGGAGGTGCTAGGAGGCAGCAGTGCCAGCCCTGAAATACAGGATTTTGCCTTAAAAATTGCCCACGCGCCTTCATCTACACCGGGGTTACCATGTAAAGCTCGCGCTCTGCGGGGATTCCGGGGATGGGAATGGGGGACACAGTGAAGTCAAGTTCAATGCCCCCAGTTTTAGGGGGGCACACATCCGGGGAAGATGGATCAGGCAGGACAGCCCCTCGGTACTCGCGAGCTGATGGGAATGGATAAATGTCCGAAGCGCCCTCGCCCGTGACCACCGTCCTCGGTGATGGACCAGACCTCTGGGCGGGGGCCGGGACTGACAGGGTCCCGCCTGCCCGCAGGGCACATTTTGTGGGAGCACACGCGTGGTCGCTACTCGTGCATGCAGTGCACCTTCTCCACAGCCTCGCGGCCCGCCATGACCCTTCACCTGGAGGACCACCGCTCCATTGCCCCCGGGCAGCCACGCCCCGAGTGCCCGGTGGGTAAGGCCCTGGAGTACCAGGGTGGGGAGGATGGAGGCCCCAGAGGCGAGGGGCGGGGCTGAGGCTCAGACACCTCCTCTGCCCCACCCAGACCTGGCCCTGCTTGCACCCAAGGTGTCGCTCGCTGCTGCTATCAAAGGGAAAGTGTAGTGTTATTGCTGCTCTGAATGCCGTGTAGAGTGGGTCATGAGATGGGGGTAGTTTTGTAATTTTACTGGGGCCTGAAATGGATTGGGAGAGGAAATAATAAAAGAGGCGCGATGAACTGGCCTGTGCTGTCTGGGTCCCTCAGCAGCCTGTCTAGCAGTCTTGGGCACCCCTGCCCCCATCTTGAGAAGGGCAGGCCTCCTCTTACCCACGACCCACTTATATCCCACCTTCCCTGTTACCTCAACACGGACCAGCCTCCTGCTCAGTACTGCCACTGATGCTGTCCAATCACTTCCAGAAACCAGATGGGATGGAAATTTACAGTTTTATTGATTGATTGATTGATTGATTGATTGTCTTGGGAGTCAGTGGGGAGGACAGGCAGGGAGGTTGGTCCTGAGAAAGTGCTGAGTTGGCCCAGCTAGAGCCCTCTAGGTCCTTAGGCCAATGATAACTCACAGGGAGGTGACAGGATAGAGCCCCAGAGCTGGGCATTCTGTTGCAGGCTAGGACTCAGGCCTCTTCTTTGTCCTGGATTTTTCCCCTGCCCCAGCCCTAAAGAAAACAGTGGGTCAAGGTCAGCCCCGAGAGCCTGGGTTCCCTTCCCTCCTTATCCCTCCCCATCCTGGTCCTGTCTTCCCTTCCTTCATGGGAAGTCAGGCCTGGGCCAGGGTTGGAATTTTGGTGCCACACTGCTGTCTCAGCCCTGCTGTCACTGAGATCTGTGGGCCAAGCTTCCTGGTATGCAAGTCCCAGGTGTTATTGGCAGCCACCACTCAGGTGGGTTCTACTACCTTCCAGCCCCATGGTACCCCTAGCCCAGGCCTCTGCCCTCTACCCTTCCTGGGCACCAGAAGCAATTCCTCCTGCCCTTCCCCCCCAGTCTGAACACCCCTGAAAACGGGTCTCTTCTGATTGTGTCCCTCCCCTTCCTATACCCTTCAGTGTCTCCCTATAGTTCTCTAGATGAAGATCCTGTTCTAGTAGCTCACAAGGCCCCCATCTTGAACCTTCCCATTCCCTCCCCGGGCCACACAAATCATCTCCCTTCTCCTCCTTGAATACAGACTTCCTGTGAGCAAGCACACGAGTGAACCCCTGCAGACCCTGCTGAGATGGTTGTTACTCAGCACCAGCTGTGGAGTTAGATGGGCCATCAGGGAAGCGGCTCCAGGGCCCTCTGAGCTCCCCCTTCTCAGCTAGAAGCCTTATAGCCATGACTGTGTGGCCATCAGCTTTCCTGCATCTCACTTTTTAAATGAGTGCCTTGATGCTCATCCCTGGATCCTTTGTGAGGATTCATAGAGGGACTGAGGAGAGAAGATGGGGACTTGGGAAATGTTTGCAAGTGATTCATATCCCTCCAGCCACCAAGCCCATGGCTACCTCAACCTTTCCAAGAGCCTGGGGAGGAGGTGGGGCAAGGTCAAGGGGCCCATTTTACAGAGAGAGAAGGTGAAGGTAGGTGGGTAAGCTCACTGACTCTCTAGCCAGGCCCAGTTTTAAGTCACTCGCTGATTCTGCACCACCCTTGGAGCTGCACACAGTTACTACCAGCCAGCAGGGTCCACATTCCCAAAGCCCTAGTCCCAGGCTTTCCTGTATTTCTAGGGACAGGAATTAGTGATTCTGGTTCCCCAGGACCCCAGGGTACCAACCCCCCCTAGCTTTCCTTCCCTATCAAGTCCCTCATTCAGCCATCCCCAAATCCAGTCTGTCAGGACTTTTCCAGAGAGACCAAGAGCCAATATCTTGGTCCAGTTCTCCCAACACCCACCATACCCACTCCATCACCCATATAGATGCAGCCACCACTCCCGTGAGAACTAAGGGCCCATAGCTCCTACTGCCCCTTTGGAGGCAGTGGGAACTCTGCCCTGAGGCTTAAGGAGCTGGTTCAGCAGTTGGCCTGGGTCCCCTGACCACTCCAAAAGATACCTCCTCCCTCATCCCCTTCCAACTCATATACAATCTTTTGTCTGCTCACTTGAAATTTATCACTGCTCCCAGTGTCCCTTCTAGGCTCCTGCAGCCTCTGCCCTCCTTCTGGCTAACCTATGACCCCACAGAAGGCCCCCCTACCCCACCTCAACTCCAGGATGCCTGAAAGCTGTCCTCTTAGGCCCAAGCATGTCCAGCAGACGGCACCCAGGAGTATCAGTCTGAGGGAGAATGAGAGGAGGCCAGCACTCGCCTTGTACAGTTGCCCCCACGTAGGCAGGTGGGCCAGAGACTGCAGGTTCATGTTGAACAGGCTGAGCCACTCCAAGTGTCCATCCACCGCCTGGCAGTTATCCAGCACCAGTTCCGTTGCTGGTGTCGCTGGTGGGTGCCCCCTCAGCTGGGAAAGGGGAGGTAAAGTTCCTGACCTAAGCTGAGCACCCCCCGTCCGGGGCTCCTGACTTTTTGTGGCCTCAGGACCCACCACCCACGTGCTCAGTCCTCTTAAGTGGCTGCACCAGCTGCCAACCCCCAACCCCCACCACCCACCCACATTAGGGAAGGCAGGTGCACTGCTCCTGGCTCTTGCACAGGGCCTGGGTGCACCAGCTTCAATTCCCCACACATGCTCAGAACCCCAGCTCACCTCCCTGGCCCTCAGAGTTCCACACACTTGCCTGACGAACCCCCACCAACACCCATTTCCCAAGGCAGATGCTGGATCAGGCTCACTTCTGGCTTTTGGTTCCCCAGCTCCAACTGTAGCTGCAGGTCCACGTTTAAGGCTTTGTGCCTCCAGAAAGGTGCCAAACATACAAAGAGGACTGGGGGTCATGTGCCCTCTGGGGACGGTGCCAGGAGCCTGTGGGCTCTCCACAGAGGCTCAGCCAGGGAGGGACCCTCTAGAATTCTGTGCTGAAGCTGTCCACACACCCAGGAGTCTCCCCAGAGCCTGGGGAATCACTGGCTGTCATTCATTAAATCCTTCAGCTTACCTTATATGCTCTCAGCCAGTCATCCCTGTTCTCTCATCCTTTCCCTCTCACCAAATCTGTGAGGTGGTGGCTGGTCCTGGAGACCCAGAGAGGACCTAAATCTCATCATCCCTGGCCTCCTGGGACCCCTGTTCAGAGGGGGACCCACATCTGGAAATGTGACTGAGAATGCATGTCCCTGTGCAGGGACACGGATTCACAGGCCAAGTTCCAGAATCCTCAGACCGTACCCTTAAAGCAGACATACAAACAGGCAGTCATTTCCAGATGTGCTGCCTGTGGCCTTCAGGGCAGGGCAGGCAAAAGAAGGTCTCCTGCTGGGAATGCAAGTCCTCAAGACAGAAAGAGCCTCCTTCCCTGTCTCAACTAAATCTTTCTGGATCCTTTTGGAAACTTATAGGATCACCTGCCAGGTGTGATCTGTAAACTAGCAGCATGGGCATTACCTGGGATGTTGCGGATACTGAGGCCTCACCACTGACTGGAAGCAGACCCTGCATTTTAATAATGGGGACAGATGGCAGGTGACTGATGGGCACCGGTGTTTCTCAATTAGCTGCACATTAGAATCCCTCAGCAAGTGTCTAGGTGTGGCCACACCCAAACCAATTAAGTCAGAATTTCTGGGTGCTTCTATGTCTTTCTTTGTAAATACCTCAAACAACCCCAATGCATGGCCAAACAGAACCAGGGCTCTGCACTCTCCCAATGAACTGACCTCCAGGGAACCTTATCTGGCTGGGCCCCACATCCTAACTGCACTGGTCTTGCCCACTACCTTTACCCCATCTTCCTTGGCCTCCAAGCTGTCTTGTCTTGATTTTCTTCACATCCTTAGTCCACTGGGAACCTGGGGTGTCCTTGGACCCCCTCCCCAGGGCCAAAACCTTTGATACTACCCACCTATTCATCTTCAAATCTGCCATCTCAGTGGGCCATCCATGGCCCATGTAACATTTGCCCCTGCAACAGGGAAGTCTTGCTCAAAACTGGGAATTGGACCACAGAGAAGTGTTAACATGAGGAAGGCAGGTGAGGTAATGAGCAAAAAGGCTTCACCTGCCCTAGCCGGTTTGGCTCAGTGGATAGAGTGTCGGCCTGTGGACTGAAGGGTTCTGGTTTGATTCCTGTTAAGGGCACATGCCTGGGTTGTGGGCTCAATCCCCAGTAGGGGGCATGCAGGAGGCAACCGATCAATGATTCTCTCTGATCATTGATGTTTCCATCTCTCTCTCTCTCCCCCTTCCTCTCTGAAATCAATAAAAATATATTTTTTAAATAGGCCTCACCCATCACACTCACTGGACTCCTTGGTCTCCGGCCCAGAACAGACTGTGCCCCCTCTCCATTGAGAACTCCCCCTCCCATGGAGGCTCTGTCTGAAATTGGCCTTCGCCTGTCTCTGCTGGCAGGAGGTCTAGCACCAAGTCCTCCCTGGAGCCCAGAGGTTCGCAGGGCATGTGGTGGGACTGAGCGGGAGAGGCACAGCAGAGAGCCAAGAAACTGGTGGCTGTGTTGTGAATGTGCTGACCCCCAATGCATGCAATGCAGAGATAGTAGCAGGCAGGTCAGGAACTCAAGACGTGCTGGACAGGAAGGATCTGGAGACAAGCCCGGGCTGTCCCCGCCTCCTTTCCTTCCTCCTCTGCCCTCTCCACCCATGGGGCCCGTGGAGCAGAAACCACAGTCACTTCCTGAAAGCCACAGGCCCAGTTTAGTTCCCACTCTCACCGTAACCCATCCATCACCTGCCTGCCGCCATGGTAAGTGAGTCCCCAAGCCCTGGGAGAGCCCCCCTCTCCCCCCACTGGTTGGAGGCAAGGGGTGCCACGGGTGAGAATTGGGGGGCATATTCCAAGAATAAAGTGGCAGAGAAAAGCCACTTGGGAAACAGGAATGACCAACACAGAGGCCCAGAGATGTGAAGCAGCCAGGACACACAGTCCAAGCTCCAAGGGGCCCAGGCTGTGACTACAATTATAGGGGGACTAGTGGGACTGCTCAGACAACTCCCTTCCCCTTGGGTCAGCAGGAACAGCAACCTGGTAATGGAGAGGTAGGGTGAGCACACCCAGGGTAAGCACAGGCGTTTCCAGTGGGTGACAAAGTGGGTCAGGCACCCGCTGCTTGCCCCCACCCAGTCAGTCACCCAAGGCATGACCTGGCCCTGTGGGTCACCTGGGAGCCCTTGCTCCAACTCACCAGGTAGGGGTCTTTCGCAGAGGCCTTTCACGCCAGAGTGGTGGCCTTTTCTCACATTCTCTGAATAGGAAAGTGAAGCATAACCAGGTGGAGAGGCAATGCTTTTCTGACCTTCCCTTCCTTCCCCCAATCTTCTTGACCCCAGGTGATTCCAGGTTTCAGGGAGCCTGTGGCAGGGCCGTCTTTGTGGGACTTGTCATTAGAGCAGGCCTGGTCTAGTTTGTGCATCTGTCTGTGTATAACCAATGGTATGGATAATCAGCACTATACCTAGGACAGACTGTGTGTGCCATAGATGACACACCGCCTGACCGTGTTTGGGGTGGGGGTGGGGGGTGGGGCGTTCTGCCTACCATTTCTCATGGCATTATTGACTGAGTGTCCCCGACCATCACTATGGGATCTGGGACTGTGAGAAACCCTGCACCACATTTGCCTCCAGGTTCCCAAGTATCTCTGCATCCATCTCTGTGAGTCTGTGACTATCAGACTGAATGTGACTGAGTATATGCCAGACTTTGGGCCTCTATGTTCTTTATTTCAACAAATATTTACTGAACACCTACTGTGTACCAGGCACTGGGAAGACAGCAATGAAATTAGCCAAGTCACTGCATTTAAAAAACAACATAAGTATAAAAAACGAAAGAAAAAGGAAAAAATAAACCTAAGTGACATAAATTTGATACATGGTGTCAGGTACTAAAAGAAAAACCATGCAGGTTGGAGACTCAGGGTTAACAGGCTCCCTCTGGCTGCTGTGGGGATACTAATCAGAGATGGAGGGTGGGCAGGAGTCCAGGGAGGAGGCAATGGGAAGGTGCATCTAATGCAGTGGTTCTCAACCCTCTGGCCCTTTAAACACAGTTCCTCATGTTGTGACCCAACCATAAAATTATTTTCGTTGCTACTTCATAACTGTAATGTTGCTACTGTTATGAATCGTCATGTAAATATCTGATATGCAGGATGGTCTCAGGCGACCCCTGTGAGAGGGTTGTTCGACCGCCAAAGGGGTCGCGACCCACAGGTTGAGAACCGCTAATCTAATGGGTGACAGTGCTGCAGACAGTGAGAAGTGGTTGGATTCCGGATGTAATTTGCAATTAAAACAGAAGGAACTGGAGACATGGGGGTAAAAGAACAAGGAAGGGGTGGTGTGTGTCTGTGACCATGTCCACGTTTCTCCATATTGGTCTTTACACAACTCCTGTGTGTACCAGTCCCTGACTGACTGACTGACTGACTGTGTCCCCTAGGGGAGCCATCAGGACTTCCGGAGCCTTCAAGCAAAATTCCAGGCCTCTCAGCCTGAGACCAGTGAACTCCCCCCCAAATCTCCAAAGCCTGAGTTCAAGAAACTCCTCAAGAAGTTTCCACAGCCTGAGCCCAGTGAGCACTCTAAGAAGCCCTCACTGCCTGAGTTCACTGATCTGCCTAGGAAGCCCCCACAGCCCGAGTTCATTGCAGTGTCCAGGAAGCCCCCACAGCCCAAGTTCACTCATCTGCCCAAGAAGCCCTCCAAATCTGAGTTCAGTGAACTCCACAAGAAGTTCCCAGAGCTCGAGGCCACTGTGCTCCCCAGGAAGCCCCTGCAGCCTGAGGTCAGTGAGGACCCTCAGAAGGCCTTACAGCTGGAGCCCAGTGCACTTGCCCAGAAGCCCCAGCAGCCTGACCTCAGCAACCCCATCAGGCCTCCCACAGAACCCAAATTCAGTACATTCCCCAGAAAGTTCTGGCAGCCTGAGTCCAATGAGGCTATCCTGAAGGCCTCACAGCCCGAGTTCAGTAACTTTCCAAAGAAGCCCCCACCCCTTGAGTTCAGAAAGCCCCAGCAGCCTCAGATGCCCCCCTGGAAGCCTGAGTCCAGTGAGCCCCACCCCAACTTTTCACAGCCTGACTTCAGTGCCTTCCCAAAAAAGACCCCACCACCTCAGCTGAGTAACCTCCCCAGGAAGGCCCTGCAGCTTGAGTCTGGTGACCTCACCAGGACGTCCTCAGAGCCCGAGGTCTGTGTGTCTCCCAAGAGGCCACAGCAGTCTGAATTCAAAGCACTTTCTAAGCCCCCAAAGCCCAAGCTGAGCAGCCTCCCCAGGACGTCCTCAGAGCCTGAGGTCAGCTTATACCGCAGGAAGTTTCCACAATCGGAGGGCCAGGGGACCCCCCGCAAGTTTTCACAGCCTGAAACCAATGCTCTGCCCAAGAAGCCCCGGCAGGCAGAGTTCTTTGGGGATCCCTCTAGAAAGCCCCCACTGCCTGGCTCTGTTTCGGAGAGCTCCCTGCCCATGGCTGTTGCGGGCTCCAGCACCAGATTCCCACTCAGCCCAGGGTTTGGAGCGAGGCAAAAGAAGTCAGGAGTTCTCATTCATGGTGGAGGGTCAAGGCTGGGCCTCAAACCCGGCCACCCACCACGGCAGAGGCCTCTGCCTCCAGTCAGCAGCCTGGGACCTCCACCTGCCAAACCCCCGCTTCCCCCGGGCCTCAAGGATATCCAGAGCTTTCAGAGACCCTCAGCAGCAATCACAAGTGAGTCGGGCACCCCAGGCTGAAAGGAAGGGGGCAGAGGCTCCCTGGCCATGCCTGACTCCTTCCTGCTCTCCTCTTTCCACAGCTCTACAGAAGACCTGCTCTTCTGCTGGAATCCACTTCCAGGCCAGACAGCCTAAGGCTATCCTAAAGTGAGTGTGGAGAATAAGGGGACACAGGTGCCAGTCATGGGCCTGAAAGAGGCCCTTATCTCAGGTACCCCTGCAGGGACCAAGAGGAGATCTACGAGCTGTACGATGATGTGGACCTGACAGACTCCAGCCCCAGCATCAAGGGCAAAGGTTTGTTGGCAGCGGGGCTGGACACAGCCAGCCTGGGCACCTGGGACCTATCTGCTGCAAGGGCATTTTCTGCCATTCTGTTCCCTGACAATGCAGGGGAGAAAGCAGGGTGGAGTAGGAGCCTTTTAGGAAGGTCACACCAGTTCCTGATGGGCAGCACAGCATAGTGAAGGGCAGCACAGAGGCCAAGAGCCAGTGAACATGATGTAGCCAGGGCAGAGGGGTGGCCCAGGTGAAGGTGGAAGAGTCGGGTAAAAAGCGGCAAGAGGACTTGGCGGTGTATTACACAGGAGCGAGAGGGAGCGAGGAAGCTTGCCTTGGGCCTGGTTGTATGTAGAGTGAAGCCTTCCCTGAATCGGGTAAAAGAAAGGTGTCAAGGTCCCTCATAGATCTATTGTGTTGGAGGTGCCTGAGGACTTGGGCCTGGACACAGGGTATATCCCTGACACCTCTCTCTGTGCTCTGAGTTCCAAAGGCCCCTTCTCTCTCCCTTCTTCCAAGTCTGCTCCTGGAGAGGATGCTAGCCTAGCAGGCCCACACCTCCGGCCCAGCACCAGGTTTAATGCCTTCACCAACGCTGAGTGCAAACAAAAAGTGCTTCCACACAAGCACTTTACATGTGTGTCACCGAATCTGCACAGACCCCTACCCAAAGCAATGTCATGCCCACTTATACATGTGGAAGCTTGAGGATCTGAGAAGTATCTTGTTGCGCTTACACAGCCAGTACACACAAGTTCAGGTCCCCTGCTTCCAGACTGCTTCCCTGCCCTGGCTTTGGAAGGCCTTGCCTCCGGTGGGGGAACCTTCCATCAGGGGTGTCTTTAGGATGCTACCTCTCCCTCCCCATTAGTACCTCCCACCCAGATCTGCTGCTTCTGTGGCTACTTCTCCTGAGCTTTCTCCAGGGGCTGCTTACCAAAGCCCTCTGTTAGCAGTTAGTAGAGCTTTCTGACAGGGCCCCTCCTGCTTCTGCTCTAAATGTGGCTCTGAGGGGTCACTGTTGGGGACATGGACATGGAAAGGGAATGCCTGTGGCCACTCCACTTCCAGCAGCCTTGCAGGCATGGCCCACACCTTCCCCTTCCCCAAATCCAACCACCCAGAGCAATAGCTGCTCCACATCTTCACACAGCTGAAGGTCAGGCCCACCTTTTCCCCAGGATCTAAACAGGAGCCTGCCTTTCCCCATAGGGCCTGCTTGGGGTCACATTGCCAAGCTTGGGTCACAGGTACACCAGGTCCATCCCACACCCGTGTTCAGTGGTGTACTCTACTGCTACAATGGGTTTGTAGACTGCACCCATTGGGTGACCATTCCTGGTCTGGGCAGCCTCTGGAAGAAATAGGAGCAGCTGGAGCGGGTAGGATGGCACCATCAACTGAGCATCAGGCAGAGGCTGGAGGCAACCTCAATGCCTGAAGGGGCAAGACCACCAAGCAAATACTCTCTCAGTGCGCTGCTTGAGCCTTCATTCTCCTGTTCGTGAGGCTCTCACTGTAAGCCAATTCCATGACCAACAGCCTCCTACCGGGAGGGCTGGTCACTTGCCAGGAAGTCTGCCCCACCCTGGGAGACCCTTCATAGTCTAGTCCAGTGGTCGGCAAACCACGGCTCGCGAGCCACCTGCGGCTCTTTGGCCCCTTGAGTGTGGCTCTTCCACAAAAAACCACGTGCGGGCGCGCACATACAGTGCGATTGTAACTTCGTGGCCCATGCGCAGCAGTCGGTTTTTGGCCTGGGCGAGTCTATTTTGAAGAAGTGGCGTTAGAAGAAGTGGGGTGGGGGAGAGGTCGGGCGACGGGAGACACAGCGCGGGGGGGTGGGAGGGGGTACATTGTTTTGAGGTACGTTCGCTGAGGTCAACCCCTTCCAACTCTCCCATCCACACTCGTCTATCTGAAACAAGTATACAAGACGAGTGTGGATGGGAGAGTTGGAAGGGATCGACCTCAGCGAACGTACCTCAATCAGATTGAGGACGTTTTTAGCAAAGGCCAGCTTAGGAGTACCCTAATTAAGTTAATAACAATGTACCTACCTATATAGTTTAAGCTTAAAAAATTTGGCTCTCAAAAGAAATTTCAGTCGTTGTACTATTGATATTGTTGCTCTGTTGACTAATGAGTTTGCCGACCACTGGTCTAGTCTCATCATTAGCCAGGCCAGTCCAAAAACCGCACTCCTTTGGCCCCTTCTTAGAGGCTTAATTTGCCTCCAGGAAATGCTTTTGCCTCATTTTTAACCTAAATTTCATAATTCCCACAACCCAATCTGCTCTAGGCACCAGACATGAAATGGCCTCAAAAGCGTATAAATCCTCTCTCTCTACCACTTATCATCTGGGTGAACTTAGGCAGGTTATTTTACCTCCCAGAGCCTTTGTTTCCTTATCAGCAAGTTGGAAATGACATGAATAAGGGGGAATGTCTTGAAAGCTGACAGAGGGAAGGCTCACTCAAGATCAAGCAACCAGGGTCGATAGAGGCCAAGCTGATGGTCCCTGTCCTAATATGGTGTTCTGACCGCCCCTAGATGAAGTGCCATCTATCCAGCAACCCCCCAGGAAGCCACCAGAAGACCCTGAGCTCAGGTACCACAGGGCAAAGCAGGGAGGGGCCGAGCTCTGGGATAGGTGTGGAAGGGGATCCCTGAGGTGCTCATAAACACCTCATTCCTTGAGTGACCCAGGAAAGAAAAGGCACCTCAGCCAGAGCAGTTGTTGCCTGTGGACCCTAAGGCCCTGAAGAAAATCCGGAAGGCGGAGAAAGCTGAGAGGGAGTTCCGGAAGAAGTTCAAGGTTGGCAAGAGCCCTGGGAGGGCTGGGGTCAGTCCAGTTGCCCGAGGCCCCTGGGGTTGGGGGAGGGAGGGTCAGCACAGCCAAAGCTCTAACATGCCCCTCCCCAGTTTGAGGGGGAGATCGTGATTCAGACAAAGATGATGATTGACCCCAATGCCAAGACACGGCGTGGGGGTGGGAAGCACCTGGGGATCCGACGTGGGGAGATCCTGGAGGTGATTGAGTTCACCAACAAGGAGGAGATGCTGTGCCGGGACACCAAGGGCAAGTGTGAGTAAGCTGGGCTGGCAGACTGGGGAGACGGGCCCTACACTGCCAGACCAAGAATTCACTCATCCCTGCTCTTTCTGCAGATGGCTATGTGCCCAGAGCTGCACTGCTGCCCTTGTGAGTGCTGCTGTGATTGGGGGTGGGGTGGGTGTTGATGGGCCCAGGGGTAACTTCTGTCTCTGCTAACCCAACTGTACTCTCCACCAGGGAAACGGAGGTGTATGACGACGTTGGCTTCTGGGGTATGTAGATGTGCTGGTTGGGTTGGCAGGGACCACAGCATCTGAGGAAGGGGTAAGCCCCCACCCTACTTCCCCAGGAGATACTTATGAGTCGTCACTGGAAATCACCCTTCCTCCTCTGTAGACACTCTAGAAAGCCAACCATTTCCCCGAGGACAATAAAGCCTGCAGGTGTGGGGACCCAGGACAACCACCCACTAACCTAGGAATCCTGGATCCCAGCTTAGAGGCCACAGAACTGCCAAGGCTCACACCTGACCATGTACATGGACCACATAAAGCCTTTCTTTAAAGTGATCACTGCTTCTTGTTTTTTTCTTTCCCACCTGACAGGCACACAGTGTAGAGACATGATCAAACACTCATGGGTCTGTGGGGCCGACCCCCTCCTTCATGTTCTCACCTCTCAGGGATAAAAGCGAGGAGAAAAGTGTAGTGGGGAGAAGGTGGCAAGGAAACTAGTAACCTGATAGACTTCAAGGTTTGAATTCCTGTGACAGAGCCCTGTCAGCTGCCAATCATGATTGAGAGGGAGTCAGGCAGGACACATCCAACACTGCCCCGCCACATGCAGACAGGACAAGTGGCAACTGCTGCTCCTTACAGGCTGCAAGCAGCTGTCTAGCCCAAGTGGACCCATGTACGAGGTCACATTTTGGTGGTGGCAGCCCAGTTTTGTTTTTGTTTTAATATATTTTTATTGAATTCAGAGAGGAAAGGAGAGGGAGAGAGAGATGGAAACATCAATGAGAATCATGGATCGGCTGCCTCCTGCAGGTCCCACACTAGAGATTGAGCCCGCAACCCAGGCATGTGCCCTTGGCTGGAATCAAACCTGAGACCCTTCAGTCTGCAGGCTGATACCCTATCTACTGAGCCAAACCAGCTAGGGCAGGGGGACCCAGTTCTGATATAGCCCAGGTATTAAGTTCAGCCTGAACCTCTATGGGACTAAACATGCTCAGAAACTCACACCCTGCTTAGTCTGTTTTAGTAAAGAAAGCTATTATGAACTGAATATTTGGTCCCCACCCCCCTCTCCAAATCCTAATGCCTAATTTGAGAGGCAATTAGCTCTATTATCCCCAAGAAAGCTCTTTTGTCCTTTCTACCATGTGAGGTAACAGAAGGCACTATGAACCAGGATCTGGCTCTCTCACCAGACACTGAGACTGCTGGCATTTTAATCTTGGACTTCTGAGCCTCCAGATTGTGAGAAATCAATTTGTTGTTTATAAACCACCCAGCTTATGGTATTTTTGTTATAGCAGCCAGAGCAGACTAAGACAAAAGCTGAACTAGAAATGAACCCAATGTAGTGCCTGTACCCCTTCAAGAAACTGCACAGAAGGGAGATAGGACAGCTAACAGCCAAGTCTCCATTACCAACACAAGGGATTTAAAGTCCACTCAGGATAAAGTTTCCATAGTTAGTTCCTAAAGGAGCAGGGTCCACAAACAAGCAAGAATGGGGATGAGACTCCTGGTGTTCACAGCTCCAAAGGTAGAAAGGAGACTGAGTGGTTCCTGCTCCCCAAATATTGGGTGGTGGCCCCACAACACACACACACAAAAGCAAGCAGCTTTCAGGAACTGGTATTTATTATCAAAGTCATATTTGATGTCAACAAGATGCCACAACTACAAAAAAAATTGCGCACATTGCAATCTCAATGCAAACAGTCAAATGGAACCCCAGTCATTAAAAAAGTAATTCAAATTACCCCAAAAAGCAACTGAATTTTTTAAACATCTTTATACATCCAGCCAACAAATTAAAATGGTTAACAAGAAAAAATACAAATTCAGAGGTCTGGTATCGATGTTTAAAAAAGGCAACTGCTTAAGCATTTCTATCGATTCGAACATCAATCTCTCGGCCACTCAGCTTCATCCCATTCATCATCCGGCAGGCTCTCTCAGCCACCTCTGGAGACTCAAACTTAACCACACCGCACCCCTTGGACTTCCCATTCTCCATCTTGATGTCCGCATACAGCACGTGGCCTGGGCACAGGGAGGGAAAAAAAACACCACAACTCATCAGGCAAACCAGATCTCAGCCTCAGTGTGGGCTCCACTCAGTCCAAATCACCTGTGAATTTCGGTGGTCTGAGTCAAAAGGGAGAGTAGAGTACTCCCCACCCCTGGTGCATGAATGCCCAGAACACAGTGGCTGGGACCCAACTCTATAGCCCTCAGGCCAATTCCCATTCTTCTGCCAACAGGAAAAAATTTGACCAGCCCCATGACAGCTTCAAATGCAGGTCTTTACACTGAAGAGTTAGCCAAAAAAGGGGAGGCCGTGAAGCCAAATTTATAAGCAAATTTTACAAAGTCTTCGTTTTTCACTACACCAAATCACATTTACAAAGCCATCACATCACCAATATGATGTATACTTTTGCACTATCCAAAAATAAGCTGTGTAATAATTAGCAGTTTTCACATATTCATTCATTCAAGCACTGATTAAGCATCCAGGTATGTGTCAAGCACTGTGAAAACAAGTACACAGGAGAAAAGCCATAGAAACACAGGGCTCTACTTCAGAGACTGCCAAGGACATGACAGTGTAGCCAGTGCTAGGAGACCACAACTCTAGAGCCATTAACTGAGAAAGGGTCAACATCCTGGAGGGCTTCTCCTGGTAAAGTTCTGAAACAGAGTTTAAGTTCACCAGAGGACTTGCTGATAACAGCTCTCAACAGAGCACTTCTGGAGAACAGCACTTGTAACTCAGGATTCAGAGACAGGAGGGAGAGGAGATGAAAGAGGAAGGAATCAAGCTGTACAGGGGCTTGTGAGAGTGAACTTTTCTCTTGTCAGCCCAGGGTCACTTCCAGATATGAGGCTAGGGGGACTTGCATGATCCAATCTGACTTTTCAGAATATCTACTACAATGTGGAAGCTGAAGAGTAGAGACAGAGGGCAAGAAGGAAGGCTATGGCTCAATAGCTAACCCCAGAGAAGAACCAGGAGAGCAGCATCATGGTGAAATATGAGCCACTACTGAAACAGGAAATGAGAACACGGAGGAAGCTTTGATCTAGCAAGCCACCTAGACTCTGGCTTAGGGCTAGGCCTCCATTTTACATGGTTAAAAGAACAGAAGTTGCCCCAACCAAATGGCTCATTTGTTGAAGCATCATCCCATACACCAAAAAGGTGGTGGGTTTAATTCTTGGTCAGGGCACATATATGGGAGGCAACCGATAGATGTTTCTCTCTCAACATAACCTCAGGTGAGGATTAAAAAGTAAAACACACACACACACAGAAGTAGTGGGGGTGAGGGACAGGTAGGGTGGGAGGTGGGGGTCACCCAGAGACAACTTAACTTACTTTCAGCCAAAAAGTGAGCCTACCAGAATGGTTGCCTGGTGTGCCAAAAAACCACAATCACAGACCTTCAGCTTCACTCACATATAAGCTACTGCATACCTAGAGCCTGGCAATACCACACTCACAGGACCTGCTGGGCAAGTGCTCTCTGAAGCACAACTGAAGTAGGTTCTATGGTAGAAAGAGACCTTGTCTTAAATGTATTCATTTTATTTAGGTCTGTTACTTAGAAGTCATATGAGCTTGAGAATGTGACTTTGCCTGATCATCTGTAAAACAGGAGCCATGCTATCTCCTTTCAAAAACCGTAAAATGGAAAAAAAAGATTAAGGGTAATATGAAAACACAGGGGAAAAGTGTCTGACACATACAAGGAGACTCAACCTGCTTGAATATTTGCATAGGCAGAAAAATGGCAAGTCCCATCAGCCCTCTAGAGTAAATAAAGTGGCTTTTAAAACTAGGATGGAAGGTTCATTGCATAACTTAAATGCATCATCAACAAGCTACGATTTCTGAAGCCACAACATATGGAAGCATCTAGAAAGCATTTCTCAAACACTTACCACATTCGTTGAATTTGTCCTTTAGCATTTTCCATGTAAAATCAAATGGGAGCTGGGGGGGAAAAGAAGGGGGGAAAGAACAGTCTGATGAGTGATTCAACCAAATCCTAATGTATAAACATTCCCATTATCTCTGAGGGTGACTTAAAGGATTTCCTATTACACAGAGAAATTGGCTGACCTCCCAACTGAGACAATCAACAGAAAACAAATTGGTCTGGAATGAGGTTTTAAACCAGCACACCAAGTTTACTCCATTGTAGCTTTTTCTGTCCATGGGGACATCATTCAGAGAGCAGAATGCACAGCTGCCTGTGGTTCAGGCCACAGAACCACTAAATAGTAGCTAAAGGCAGTCAATTTGGTACAGATAATTCACAACCAACCATTTTTTCCTCTGTACTGTCAGGCCAAGGTTTAGTGGCTCTTCAAGCCAAGAGATCAGAAAACTAGAGTTCTTCATCTCACTGTTCCATCTAGTACTCAGGGAAGCCCAGTGTGTTCACAGAACCCACTATTCTTGCTGGAAAGTATTGTAAGCTGTCATATTCCCTCCTCATCCTACCAGCATCAAACTTGGGGACAGTGACAAGGTAGCCTCAATGCTATTCAGCTCCCTTTCTGAAGAGAACATAACCTCTGACTTTACTGGCCACCATTTGGTCTTGCTGACTTCCTGTCTCCCCCTTTTCTTTGCGCCTACCAATGGAAAGGTTCCAGGTGATCCACTTACATTTCTCACAAATATCTGGCAGGCCTTTCTGGCCACCCCAGGAGCATGGCCTCCAGCTCCACCAAAGGAACCTGCGAAGCTTCCTCCAAAGTTGCCACGCTCCATCTCGATGGCACGGTCAAAGCTGGCACTGCCACCGCCACCCATGGCCAGGCCCATGCGCTCAATGCCAGCGCCCAGGGCCGGGCCCATGGCAGGACCCATGCGCTCCAGGCTGTTGGCACCCATGCGCTCCAGGCCCATGCGCTCCAGACTGTTGGCGCCCATTCGCTCCAGGCCCATGCGCTCCAGGTTGTTGGCGCCCATGCGCTCCAGGCCGGTGGCCATGCGATCCATCACAGGGCCCATACGCTCCAGGCCAGCCCCCATGCCTGCGGGCACCATGCGATCCATGCTCAGGCCCATGCGCTCAATGGCAGGGCCCATACGCTCCACACCAGAGCCCATGCGCTCAATGGTCTGGCCCACACGATCAATGGGTGCGGCCATGCGCTCCAGGCCAAAGCCCATGCCGGCACCCATGCGCTCCACGCCAGATCCAATGCGCTCCATGGTCTGGCCCATGCGCTCGATGCTGGAGGCCATGTGGTCGAGGCCCAGTGGGCCCATGCGCTCGATGCCAGAGCCCATGCGCTCGACGGAGCC